TTTACTTCATTTCTTTTCATCTCCACAGTCACCACCCTAGTCCAGCCTACCATTATCTCCCCTCTGGATTAGCAATCTTTCACCAGATTCCTTGTAACCACTATGGGTGACCTCCAATCAACTGCAGCTAGAGTCCCAGCTTGGGAAGATGAAAAAGTTCTGGAGACAGATAGTGCTGATGACTGCACAACAATATGAATGTTATTAAATATTTTTGTTATGTATATTTTATCATAATAAAATAAACAAGTAATGAACAACACACCACTTAATGGTTTCCCATTACTCTAAAAGCCTAAAATCCTTAACATGGCCTACAAAGCTCTGCCTTACTTCTTTCCAGGTTCATCTAACTTCCTATACTACAGCTTTCCTTTAGCTCCTTGATATTCTTTCCTCCCACCACCAGGGCCTATGTATATACACTTTCCATAATTTTGAAATGTTCTGCCTATCTTTGTACCTAATTCATTCCTACTCAGTCTTAGATATCAGGTCAAACTTTACTTTCTCAGGGAAGCCTTCCCTGATCCTGTAGTCTAAGTCAAGTTTTTTGTTACACGTTCTTACAGAACCAGATTCCCTTTTAAAAAGCACTTACCTCAAACAAACATGATCTAATTAAACTTAAAAGCTTTTGCACAGAAAAACAGACCATAAACAAAACAAAGACAACCTACAGGGACTTCCCTGGTGGTCCAATGGTAAAGAATACATCCTGCAATGCAGGGGACACGGGTTCGATCTTTGGTCAGGGAACTAAGGTCCCACATGCCGTGGGGCAACTAAGCCTGTGCGTGCCACAACTACTGAGCCTGCGCACTTCAACTAGAGAAAGAGAAAACCTGCACGCCACAACGAGAGAGAAGCCCACGCGCTGCAGCAAAGATGTTGCGTGCTGCAAGGAAAGATCCTGCATGCCACAACGAAGATCCCACATGCCACAACGAAGATCCCGCAACTAACACCTGACACAGCCAAAAAAAAAAAAGGTCAAAAAAAAAAGACAACCTACAGAATGGGAAAGAACGTTTGCAAATGATGCGCTGGACAGGGGATTAATCTCCAAAATATGCAAACAGGTCATACAGTTTAATATCAAAAACATGAACAACCCAATCAAAAGTGTCTACTTAGATGACCTAAGTAAACATTTCTCCAAAGAAGACATACAGATGGTCAAAGAGCACATGAAAAGATGCTTGACTTAATTATTAGAGAAATGCAAATCAAAACTACGATGAGGTACTACCTCATACCAGTTAGAAGGGCCACCATCAAAAAGTCTACAAATAATAAATGCTGGAGAGGCTGTGGAGGAAAAGGAACCATCCTACACTGTTGGTGGGAATGTAAACTGGTGCAGCCACTATGGAGAACAGTATAGAGGTTTCTTAAAACACTAAAAATGGATCTACCACATGATCCAGCAATCCCACTCCTGGACATATATCCAGAGAAAACTATAATCCAAAAAGATATATGCACTCCAATGTTCACAGCAGCACTATTTACAATAGCCAAGACATGGAAGCAACCTAAGTGTCCATCGACAGATGAATGGGTAAAGAACATGTGGTAAATACAATAGAATATTACTCAGCCATAAAAAAGAATGAAATAATGCCACTTGCAGCAACATGGATGGACCTAGAGATTATCACACTAAGTGAAGTAAGCCACAGAGATAAAGACAAATATCATATGACATCACTTATATGTGGAATCTTAAAAAAAAAAGATACAAATGAACTTATTTACAAAACAGAAATAGACTCACAGACATAGAAAACAAACATAGGGTTACCAAAGGGGAAAGGGGTGGGGGAGGGATAAATTAGGAGTTTGGGATTAAAATATACACACTACTATATATAAAACAGACAACCAACAAGGACCTACTGTATAGCACAGGGAACTATATTCAATATCTTATAATAACCTATAATGGAAGAGAATATAAAGAAAAGAATATATATATAACTCAATCACTTTGCTCTATACCTGAAACTAACACAACATTGTATATCAACTATATTTCAATAAAAATTTTTTAAAAGAGAGAAAAAAACTTTTAAAAAGCACATATCTCAGTTTGTAATCATATATTATTAACACAAATATCTAATTAAAGTCTATCTCTCCCACAAGGAGACTATAAACTCTACAAGGGCAAGAACTATATCTTATTTGCTTACCACTTAGCATCTGTCTGGCACATAGCAGGTATTCAAAATAATTTACCAAATATGTGAATACAGATCTACCTTATTCTTTCTTTAAGTGTCTAAGAATTCCCCATAATTGATGTCATAATTTCTTTACCCAATCCCAGAATTATGGCATTTAACTTGTTTCCAGATTTTTACTATTATAAACAAACTGCTAGAATGATCACTCATGCCAGTGTATATCTATGGATGTACTTAAACGTAATTCTTTTTTTTTTTAATTAATTAATTAATTTATTTTTGGCTGTGTTGGGTCTTCGTTTATGTGCGAGGGCTTTCTCCAGTTGCAGCAAGTGGGGGCCACTCTTCATCGCGGTGCGCGGGCCTCTCACTGTCGCGGCCTCTCTTGTTGCAGAGCACAAGCTCCAGATGCGCAGGCTCAGTAGCTGTGGCTCACGGGCCTAGCTGCTCCGCGGTATGTGGGATCTTCCCAGACCAGGGCTCGAACCCGTGTCCCCTGCATCGGCAGGCGGACTCTCAAACCACTGCGCCACCAGGGAAGCCCAAACGTAATTCTTAAATGTAAAATTGCTGGTCAAATGAAAAGTGCGTTTAAAATTTTAACTGATATTTCCAAATTGTCCTCCTATACGGCTGCAAAGTATCCTCCAAGCAATCAACAATGTGTAACAGTACCCACTTCGATATACTTTTTTTTTTTTTCGCGGTGCGCAGGCCTCTCACTGTTGTGGCCTCTCCCGTTGCGGAGCACAGGCTCCGGACGCGCAGGCTCAGCGGCCATGGCTCACGGGCCCAGCTGCTCCGCGGCATGTAGGATCCTCCCAGACCAGGGCATGAACCTGTGTACCCTGCATCAGCAGGCGGACTCTCAACCCCTGCGCCACCAGGGAAGCCCAACTTCGATATACTTAATACTCAATTTGTATAATCAAAATGAACCTACTGGGCTTCCCTGGTGGTGCAGTGGTTAAGAACCCACCTGCCAATGCAAGAGACACGGGTTCGAGCCCTGGTCCAGGAAGATCCCACATGCCACGGAGCAACTAAGCCACAATTACTGAGCCTGCACTCTAAAGCCCACAAGCCACAACTACTGAGCCTGTGTGCTGCAACTACTGAACCCTGTGTGCCTAGAGCCCGTGCTCCGCAACAAGAGAAGCCACCACAATGAGAAGCCCACTCACGCAACCAAGAGTAACCCATTCGCCGCAACTAGAGAAAGCCCACGTGCAGCAACAGACCCAACACAGCCAAAAATAAATAAATAAATATATTAAAAAGAAAAAAAAGAACCTACTGTTTGGCTGGGTGTGGGGTAATAGAGAAGAGTGTTAGTTTTTATGTAAGAGAGGTGTTTTGTTTTGTTTGTATTTTAATATCATACTAAGCATTTAAAATTAAGTATTAAGTTTATTATTCCTATAAAAGAAGTTTCAGCAAATGAGTTGCGTAGACAAAGCTAAGTGATTAGGAAAATGTTTCATTATTGACAGACTGTGGATAATTTGTGTATTTTAAAAATCATGTATTAGTTTAACCTATAGATTCTCAAAAGCACTTTTCCTATCATATTGATTGTTTTTCTTTCTGAGACTTTAGTCCATGTTTCAGTCATAGTACTGAGGCAGTAAAAAGGAGCAGAAAATCACAATAAGAATATTCACACATAAGAATATATTAAAAAATAGAGAAAAATGCTAACATTTTATATTAAACTTAATTTTTTTCTTCAAGATATTAACATTTTGTTGTAGTTCCTTCTATTTTTTGTCCTCATACTTAATACATCTCATAGCATGCTTATACTATTAATTGCTTCTTTTCACTAAGCAGTATAGCATGTATGTTTATTTCTTCCATGACCTTAAATACAGACCCTTCTTCTCCAGTCTCAAGTAGCAGTAACAAAAAGCACCTGCACGACACCCCCTTCTCTAGATCTTCACTATGTTCTTAACCTCTTAAAGCTTCCTGTTTCTGATCTGACAAATGACAGCATTAGTTTAAGCGACCTCTACATGATTAAAAGTTACAAGATTAAAGAGGAAATCCCTTCTGACTTAACTCTTCCCATTTAAGCTTTTCTAGAACATACCAGGCCTGTATTTAAGAAGGCAGATGCCAGCTTCCTCTGTCCCACCACTTAGTAAGCATATCCTGTTGAAAATAATTTGATTCTTGTGATTCTTGATAATTCAGGACTTTTAGCTATTTCAGGATTAGTATTCTCATCAGAAGTGATCTTGGGACTGCCCTGGTGGCTCAGTGGTTAAGAATCCACCTGCCAATGCAGAGGACACAGGTTCAAGCCCTGGTCCAGGAAGATCCCACGTAATGCGGAACAACTAAGCCCATGCACCACAACTACTGAGCCTGCGCTCTAGAGCCCATGAGCCACAACTACTGAAGCCCACACGCCTAGAGCCCGTGCTCCACAACAAAGACAAGCCACCGCAATGAGAAGCACAGGCACCGCAATGAAGAGTAGCCCCTGCTCGCCGCAACGTGAGAAAGCCCGCACGCAGCAAAGAAGACCCAACGCAGCCAAAAATGAATAAATTTTAAAAAAGAAGTGATTTTATTTGTAGTGATTCCAGATTATATACAAGAAATTCTTATTTAAATATAAAGAGAAAAATCATTAATTATAATCTGTTTTTCTTCTTACTAATTCTACCATTGAAGCAGAATATAAAGGGATTAGCTTTTAGAGTGTTTTCTTTTAACTGTCCTAATTAATGGAATTTCACATATAATAAACTGTCAATTCTTTTCCACGTCTAGATTTATAGAAACATGAGCTGTTACCTTAACTGGGAAGCTACATTTTCCAGTACGAACTCCTTCTTCATCTGTCTGCCACTGATGTGGACGACTGGCCTCTGGAACATAAACATCTTTCTTTCTCCTAAAACTTTGCCGTAGTTTATTCATTTTAATTTTTACAAGCTGTAAAAGAAGGATGAAAAGGAAGTTATTACTTTCTCACATATTTAAAGTTTGGATTACCGTCCTAATAAAAAACTAGTATCCCAAATTAAAGGTTTTGTTTTAGGGGGAAATGAGCAATTAGTATACTTCCTCTTAGAGTAACTCTAAGTTCAAACAAACAAATCACTTCACTTTTTGAAAAAACAATTATAATGCTATTCTTGTAAAACAACAATAACCTGTTGCAGGATCTGAAGAGATGTTATTCTAAGAACTTTCAAGCACTTTAATTGCAATAATCCAATGAGTATTCCTCCTGATCTACCTCTCAAATCCATTCTAACTCCTGAATAAGGAAATGTGTACCTGTAGCCAAATTATAAACTGCTAACAATTTTTGAAAATATTCTGAAAACTTTGATCCTTATTAAGAAAAAAACATTCTGGAACACTGAAATTTGGGGATCTTTTTGGCTTACTATCAGAAGACACTAAGCAAAGCAGGGACTTTAATATAGCCTTTTGTAAAAGATATTTTATAAAAAGAAATAAAGTTTCCTTTAAACATACTTAAAGAAGAAAAAGTTCTAGGATTACATTATTCTAAAGAAGAAATTTCTTGCAAGTAGTATGACATCAGAATGTACTTTCATATTCATAATCATTACAGATATGAAAGTAATCTAATAGTTTTCGATGACAAAGGTCCAAGTCTCATCATTAACTCTGTAAATTTAAAAGTATTAAACTACAGTCAGTGTTTTTGTTTTGTTACTGGAAGAGGCACTTCTCTAATGCTTTCAAAGGTACAGTAGAAATCACAAAACTACAGGGAAGGAAGACTTATCTGATAAGAAACAATGGAGCATTTAAGAGCCAATGAATAAACATAATGATTAAGTGTCCCTTTATAGGACGAATCTCGAAATCTGAAACCAATACCTTCAGTTTTCTGTTAAGGAGCATTGCTCATTCTTTCCATGAGGGATTTAAGCACCTCAACCAGCCTAAAAAAGAGATCCTAACTTGAGAAAATGATGTGACAAAGCTATATAAAGGAAACATCTCAGGCACAGTTGCTGGCTTCCTACAGGGTCCCCAAAGGGTTGGCCTGCCTTCATGTGCCTCTGCCCAGTCCCAGGTAGGCACAGCAAGGATGATACAACAGTACTCACCAGCCCTCCACCCTGTCCACCATGGTCCTGAGTGTTGGCCCCCATCGCCACATGTTCCCCCAGTGAAATGTGGAATAGACTTGTTAGGGGAGACAGTACCTTCAGCAGTGACACTAGCTCCCCAGTAGTCAAACAGACTAACTAGCTCTTCATTAGACTGGATAAAAAAGCAAGACCCAACCATGTGCTCCCTACAATAAATCCACTTAAACCTAGAAAAATGGTACAGATGAACCAGTTTTCAGGGCAGAAATAAAGACACAGACGTGGAGAACAAATGTATGGACACCAAGGGGGGAGAGTGGCAGGTGGGGTGGGGGTGGTGGTGTGATGAACTGGGAGATTGGGATTGACATGTATACACTGATATATATCAAATGGATAATTAATAAGAACCTGCTGTATAAAAATATAAAAAAAAATAAAATTCAAAAATAAATAAACCCACTTAAAATATAAAGACACAAATAGGTTAAAAGTAAAATGACAGAAAACAGTATACCATATTGATACAAGTCAAAAGAAAGCTAGAGTGGCTATATACGCCCCCCTCAATAAGTAATAGAATAAGTAGGAAGAAAAGAATCAAGGATATAAACAGCAAGACTTGAACAACAGTTATCAACCAACATGACCTGACTGACATTTACAGAACATTCCACCCAATGACAACAGAATATACATTCTAATCAAGTGCATGTGGAACATTTACCAATACAGAACATTTTCTGGGCCACAAAACAAGTCTCAGATTTAAAAGGCTTCAAGTCACGCAAAGTATGATCTCTGACCACAATGGAATTAAATTGCCAAATATTTGGAAACTAAATAACACATTTCAAAATAGCCCACCGGTCAAAGTAGAAATAGAAAAGGAATTCAGAAAGTATTCTGAACTGAATGAAAACACAATATATCAACATTTGTGGGATGTAACAAAAGCAGTACTTAGAAATTTATAGCACTAAACCGGTGGTTCTCAACCGGGGGTGGGAGGGGCAATCTTGTGCATTTGGCAATATCTGGAGGAGACATTTTTGGTTGTCACTAGGGGAGATGCCACTGACATCTCATGGACAGTGGCCAGAGATACTGTTAAACATCCTACGCATAGGCCAGCCCCTGACAACAAAGAATTATCCAGCTTAAAATGTCAATAGTGTCACTACTGAGAAACCCTTCACTAAACGTCTATATTAGAAAATAAGAAAGGTCTTACTTAAAACAATGACCTTAGCTTCTACTTATAGAAACTAAAAGGACAAAGAAATGCAAAGTAAGCAGAAAAAAAGGAAACAGTAGGAATTAAAGCAGAAAGCAATAAAGTAGGAAAATAGAAACATAGAGAAAAGGAAACCAAAAGCTGGCTCTTTGAGAAGATTAAAAAAACTGATAAACCTATAGCTGGACTATTTAGGGGGAAAAAAGATACAAATTACCAAGATCAAGAATGAGAGAGGTGTCGTCTCTAATATTCTACAGATATTAAAAATAATAAGGGAATATTATGAACAAGTTTATGCCCATAAATTCAACAACTCAGATGAAATGGAAAAATTCCTTTCAAGTTACAAACTTTCATAGCTTATTCAAGAAGAAATAGATAACCCAAAATAGTCCTATATCTATTAATGAAACTGAATTTATAGTTTAAAATCTTTCCACAAATACAACTCCTGGGCTAAATAGATTCACTGGTGAATTCTGCCAAACATTTAAGGAAGAAATCATACCAATTCTACACAAACTCTTCCCAAAAAAATTGAAGAGGAGGGAATATTTCTCAAATCATTCTATCAGGCTAAGATTACCTGACACCAAAACCAAAGACATTATTTAAGCTTCTTAAATAGATAGACCAATATCTGCCATGAACATACATACAGAAATTCTAAACAAAATTTTAGCAAATCAAACTTAAAAAATACATTAGAAATATATCATGACTACATGGGAGTTTTTCTAATAAATGCAGTTAGTCAACGTAATCAACGTAAGTCACCTTATTAGCAAACTAAAAATGTCCCTGTTAATATGTAAGGTTATAGCTCATGACAAACTGTACCTTTCCTTCTCGGAATTCACAGATTATACACTGAACTGAGATTTTTTTTTAATTGGTTAAAATTCAACTAATTATAAGCATAAATTCTTTTCTTTCTCTATCTCCCATAGAGGGTTCATATTTAGCCCTGACTTCTTTGTGATTTCTAGTCTTGTATTTCCAATTCCAATTCAAATGTCTCCAAATCAATTTATCTTTCCTTTCAAACAAGCTCTTCTTCCTGACTTCCCTATTTCTACGTAACACCTTTACATCCATCAAAGCTTTGAAATGAGAAGAGCATACTCTAAGGTTCATCTCTGACACTTTTTCATAATTCTTCCATACCAAGTCCATCAACAGGTGCTACTGGATGGGAATAGGTATCAGTATCTCTGGTATTCAGCCATTCAGCATTTCTATTCCTAATTGCCCTGGCAGAAAAATCACTTCATCCATGAACCTCTGCAACAGCTCCTGGACTCCAAGTCCTCTTTCCTCTAATCTCCTTACATAGTTGTGCCAGATTAATATTCCTAAAATTCTTCCTTGAATGTGTTCAAAAACTGTTGGGCTGGAAAAAGGTTGGGTTCAAGTTGTGGAGGCTCCTGAATGCCAGACTCAGACATTGAACTTTAGGATCTTCAACAGTCCAGCCTTGTCTCCCAATGCTTCCCTGCATAATCCTATGAAGATCAGACCTTTCAAATATTCTGTGGCTTTCTCACTTCTTTCTCTTTCTTCACCCTATATATTCTACTTGTAATATTTTACTTTCCTCCTCGTTTAACTAAAATACTATACTAGGGTATGATAAGGAAGCTGATTTTAAAATAATTTCCTCATGTAATAGATGTGACTTGTAAAGAACAGGAAAAACAGAAAAATCCAAAGAATGAAATACAAATGACCTGTAATCCCACTAAACAGAAATAACCTCCATCAATATTTTAGAGTTTTCTCCTTTGTTTTTTTTCTATGCATATATGCTTCAGTTTTTTCTTTTTATAAAAGAGGGATCACATGATATCTTTCTCTCAGCAAGGCAATTTGAAAATCTTTCCATCCCTTTCAGAGTAGCATGCTTTTATTTATAATCTAGGTCAATAATTCAGAGAAACAAGAATTTTATGCTAGTTATAATCAAAACTTCATATTTAAAAATGAAGAAAAAAGTTTCAATTTATTTGAAGACAAAATTTATTTTTCACTCAGCACCTAGTTCATTTATTTACATTAATTTTAAATTATATATAAAAGACCTCAAATATTTTAATTAAAATTCAGTCAACAAGTATTTATTGACTGCCTACCATGCCATGCTGCACTAAACAATACAGAACAAAACCCCTGCCTCTATGAAGGAGATAGACAGAAAATAAATAGCCAGATTATTCACAGTGGTGTGCTGACTGACAAGATCCAACTGTCAAATTTTCAGCAAGTTTGTGAACTGGGTGCTAAACATAGCCTTTACTACAAATTAAATTATATGTTATAATTATATGTTATATAATAACTTATAATTATATAAGTTACTTTAAAACAAAGGTAAAAACTCATCACTTCCTATTTTTTTTTTAACTACATTTTACTATTATCTATGCTCTTGGGGTTATTTATGATTTTCTATCTGTAAGGCAGAAATACTATCTAATGCCGGGCTATTGCACATCTCTTCCCAACAACACGTTCAGTTCAGTGACTTCATGTTGGTAACTTGAAATTGGCCATGGTGGAAGTATTTACACTACAGAATTTGGCAAAAACTACCAATCACTGCTTGATTTATTGTTCTG